ATCAAGACCACAGAAGAATGAATGCAATGTTCCTCTAGGCACATTTTCCTGGGTTAAAGGTTTCCAAATTTGCTCCTGTGAAGACACCTGAGTGTTCCTGGATACACAGCACACTCTGTAGAACACCACAAAATACTGATAAAATTTTCATCACATGACTTAGAAACAATTTAAGTAGGGGGGGAAAGACTATATTATATAAGCACGTAATATAACGGTAACTTAGAAGCACCAGTTTTGATATTTTTTATTACTTACTGGACTAAAGTGATAAATATTTCCATCAATTCCTAGCTATCTGCTTAATCACTTTCTCATCAGCTATTGCTTACCAGTGCTTAAGGAGTAGCAGCTGCCACAAAAAAATAAATAAATTACGCAAGCAAAATTTTAAATGGAGATAATGCAGCTTAGTATCTTTAGTGTACACTTTCAGAGCAGAGAAAGGAATTAAGTAATAGGAAAATCAAACACCATTCTAGGGCTCACATTTGATTAGTCAATGTACCAAGCAGTCCAGGTACCTTACTTTTAACTCAAACAACATATACATAAAGAAAATGAGAATTCAGAACAGTAAAGGGTATGCCAATGATTACTTGACTGCAAACGATTAGAACTAAAAATCAGTTTCTCCCTAGTACAACAATACTGCCTCCTCCAAGTAAATATAGAGGAACCTTACCTTAACGGGTTTCAACCCAAGCTGCATATTACAATCCCTTTGAAGTCCTATTATTTGCATAGTATTTGTTAAAGATCCTCAAGTGATTTAGATAATAACTAAAAATTAATTCTTTAAGTCAACATTAACAAATTATTAGTGTAATAAAAGTTTTAATAAAATGCACAGACCTGTTTACCAATACAGAAATTGTCTGCAGAAATTCCGCAGTACTAATTCTATTTTTAATACATTCCCTTTTCCTTGCCTCACTGTCAAGATGCCAGGTATTACTAATTATTGTCATCTGTGTACCTTCATCTAACTGATACCCTCTCATTCACCTTCCACCATTCTAATTCTAATCACCTGCTGTGTGTGAGATCGAGAACCACAATAATTAAAACTGTATGTAAAAGAGAAGCAAGAAAGTTTTACATGAGAGGCTTTTATCAGTAAAGGGCACGAACTTTTAGGACATGAAGTGAGTGATATCGAATTTAGTTATCACTCACAGGCCTCTTCCAATTACGTTCTGAGTCAGAACGTTGTTCCTGATTCTTGTTGTGCAGTTCCTGATTTTTTGTTCCTGATCCTATACAACTATACACAAGCTGTACTATAACCAGGAAATAATTATTCCTTCAAGTCTGCCTCCCTTCCTAGAGTATAAACTCTGAGTTCAGGAGCCACATTTTATTCACCTTTGTACCCTGTGCCCCAAATACAGTGCTGTGCATGCAGCAAGCTCTCAGCAAATGTTTGCCTCCTAAAGACTCCTGAAGGCTGCCAAAAGTTTAATAACCTTTATTAAACAAGGAGCTCTAGTTTACATGGCTACTCAACCTGAACGTTACAGGGAATTAGGACTTTAGTAATATCATTACAGTGGAACAATTGTGAGTTCTTAAGCTCTATGGCAACTTGTTCCAATAAATTTAACATAACAAGTATACACTGGATCTGGACTTCCGGGAGAACATGGCGGACAGATAGCAGCAGCTACGGAGGCTCTCTGAAAGACCCAGCTTAGAATCCAGGAATGGTGCGGAGTGAGGAATCCTAAGCAAGAGAGGAGATATGCCCTGCTGACCCAAGAACAAACTGGGCTGAGAGAAACCAGCTGGGAATGCAATCCTGGTGCTATAACAGGAACAGATAAAGCCTCAGCGTGGAAACCGGAGCCTGCGCCATTGGAAACCGCGATTTGGGTTTCCTGCCGCCGCAGCTGCGTCTGAATCGGCTCAGCAGGGAGACAGACGCGCGAAAGCTCTGAGAACGGGAATCGGTGAACCGAGTTGAGAGCAGGACAGGCGGGGAGCCGTGCATCGACCTGCGGTGAGTGAGAGAAACTGGGACTCTTCCACGATCTAGGAGGCTCCAACAGAGGACATTCTGGGACCAGGCAGACTTGCCGGAACAGGGCGCTGTAGTGACTTCAGTCACATATCCCCCTCTCAAGCGGGACTGGTGAGCAGTGCCTAGCCTACGTGACGCTGCTGGCTGAGACCCAGTAGGCTAGCACAGCCCAGGTCCCAGCACCTGAAGGTGACCTGGAGGGGCAGGCCCCGCATAGGCTGCCTGGTCCATAACTCCCTGGTGCGCTGCGGTGGGCGGGAACACCTAGCCGGCTCAATTCAATCAGACTGTGGCCAACAGGGAAGGAAGCTGGGCCTCCTATATACGCTTGGATATATAAGGAACAAAGAATATGGGAAGAGGGAGCAACAAGAAAGGCCCCTCGGCCCCCAATCCTGAGAAACAGGCAATAGCGGACACTGCACCAATAGACATAAAGCGCTATCTCCAGAGCGTCATAGACAAGTTCAGGAATGAAGTTATTAATGACCTGAAGCTAGAAATAAGCAGAATAGTTAGAGAAATGCTAAGTACCACCCAAGAAAAAACAGAGGGTGGAACGGAAGAACAGAAAAAGAGGGGAGAACTGTTTGATGGAGAAAAGAGAGAAAGCATAGAATATGTGAAGCAGGTTCAAAGAGATTACCAGGAAACTAAAAACTATCAAAAACTGGCATAACAGCTTGAAATAAACTAAGGATAGATTATCTGAACTGGAGGCTAGATTTGTAATATGGGAGAATGAAATGAAAAACTTCTTAAAAATAACAAAGAAACAAACAGCAATAATACAAAGACTAGAAGATGATAAGAGGATCTTAAGAATTAAGAACATAAAGAACTTAAGAACTTAAGAACTAAAGAATTAAGAACATTAAAGAAGAAGTAGGGACACAAACAAATGAACTACAAAAGCTACTCACAGAAATAATCCAGGAGAATTTTTCTAATTTAGCAAAAGGTAAAGATACTCAGATGTATGAAGCATTCAGGACCCCAGCTACCTACAACCCAAACAGAGCTATACCCAGACATATAATAATCAAAATACACTGGATCTGGTCATTTGGGGTACACTGCTATAAGAACTGCTGGGTCAGGGTTAGGGACGTAGCTCAGTAGTAGAATGCTTGCCTGACTACCATGCATGAAGTTTTAAGTTCAAGCCTCTGTAACACTACCCACCCCACAAAAAGAACCATCAGACCCCTCTGTCACACGTATTGCTCAAATACTTTTACTTTTCTCCCTTCACGCGTGAAGTTCCAAAATGGCAATGACCACACCAGATTCCAGAATGGCGACAGCATAGAGAAGCTATTCCTCACCATCAGGTTCAGACAGCTCAGTGTTCCAGGCACTTGACTCCTACAGCCAAGAAAAAGGAAAAGCCTGGCTACTGCTCCAGCTGGCAGCGGACCTTGGTAGCATCCACATGGCACTGGTTTTAAGTGCAAGGTAAAGGTACAAGTTCTGAGATTAAGGCAGTTTTTACTCCAACTTCAGAGGGCCTGAAAGGCCAGGAAGTGTGCTGCTGAGGGAATAGAGTACGTGAATCTGCAAGTGTGAAGTCAAAGGTGCAATGGAGACCCCCAAAAGTTTGGAAAAGCCAGGAAAGTGGATCATCCAAGGAAAGCTGCAAGAATTGAGCAGAATGGGCCTACGAGAGAAGCTGTGGCAGTTAAAATCCCTGAAAGTGCTGTGGGGTGAAGTCACTCAAGCCTTTTGGAGTTTGCAACCAGACTGCTTTAGATGCTGAGCGTGGAACTCCAGGAATTAATGTTCACTCTGCTGGATGTTGGACTTGCTTTGGTTCTAATGCTTTGTATTCCTGTTTGTAACTTTTGGAATGGTAATGTTTATCTTGTGCCTTTACATTTTGGAAATGTTTAACCTTGTTTCATTTGTACAGGGGGGTTACAGTTAAGAGTTTGCCTTAGATCCCAAGGAGACTTGATACTTGGGACTTTTCAGTGATGATGAACTATTAAGATTTTGGCAACTCTTGGAGATGGACTAAATATCTTTTGTATAAAGGATATGCATGAGTCTTTGGGGGTCAGGGGTGGAATGTCATGGTTTATGTCAGTGGCCTCCAAGCCTCAAGCAATTATGGACATAACCAAATCTAGCATTTGTGACTGGTTTGTTGTCTAGTGCTCGGACTGGTGGTGTGAGTCCTATACTCGCCTAGGAGTGGAGCCACCATACGGTGAAACAGGGGGAAAGTGTCTCTCTTGCTGGGTTGGCACTTGCCGTTTGCGGCCACCATGAACAACTGCCCATGTGCCATACCACCCTGCCTTGGAGCCAGCTGAGTATGGACTGAAACCTCTAAAACTGTAAGAAATAAACCTTGACTTCCTTCATGTTGGACATCATGTATTTTGTCTCAACAACAAGAAAAAAAAAAACCAAGACAGATTGTTTTGTTTGCTTGTTTCTTTTTTGGTATGGGGGATCAAACTCATAACTTTGTGCTTACCAGGCAGGTACTTATATCACTGAGCTAAATTCCCAGCCCCAAGACAGAGTCTTATATTATCCATGAAGATGTGGACTGCAATAAATTAAAGATCCATAATATAAACCCTAGAAAAGGCACTTAAAAAAGTACTTTATCTAACAAGCCAACAAGAAACAAAATGGAATTATAATAATGTATTCAAATATCAGGTATGGTGGCACACAACTGTAATCCTAGCACTTAGAAGATTGAGCCAGGAGGATCTTGATGAGTTTGAGGCCACCACAGGTTATGCAATGAGTTCAAAGGCTATCCTGAATTACAGTGAGACCACGTCTCAAAAACAGTACTCAAAATGGGTGTAAGATCTTCCTTTTGTAATAAATAGCATGCAACTTTACTAACAAAATACCCCCAAAAAGGTCAAAGGTAATAGTGTGTTGAATGGCTTATCAAAATGTTTATGACTTCAGTGGCAAATCTAATCGAACTGATCTAAAGCTGACTCACCTTTCGTACAACCTGTCACTTGGTAGTGAAGCATCCCAATGTTGAAAGTCCATTATTAACATAAATAAAAGGAGACAGGTTATGAAGAATACTCCCAAGAATGCTACTCGCTGACGGAGAAATGGGCTCACTGTGGGAACAGTGAAGTAGCAGGAGGCTGGGCAGAGGTAAGAAAAACTGATCCTGAAATGAGACACAAATTAGTTAAATGTAAGACTGAGTGCTTAAAACTCGTTTTTAAATTGGACTGAAACTATAAAGGCACAAATCCACTGCCAACAGAAATCTAAATATTATTTTAGTCTCAAATTTTAGAAAAGGCTATCAGTTCTTTTTTCAAACACTGCACTTCTGAGTAAAGTTCAAAGAATTTTATGCTAATGCAAAGATTTCTTGAGGCACCTGGATAAGGCCAGTTTCGGAGCAACCATAACATTCTTACCAGGCATGCTATTAAGTCAGTCAAGTTAGTCAACTCATTTTTAAATGTTTTAATTTGTTACATATGTGCATGATAAAAACAAAACCCAACTCAAAAGCATATACTGAGAAGTAAATCTTTTTCCCCCCGCTCCACAACTTCCTAAAGGCAATCACTGCTATCAGTTGCTAAGTACTTTCCCAGGGAGATTCTGTGAATATACAGACATAAGCATATAGCAATATACATGGTAACATATCTCTGTGTATCTCCATCGTTTGGTTTTACAGAAATATGTCATATCTATTGTTCTGCCTCTTTCCCCCGCTTATTCTATTTCTCACCTACCCCAAACTAGAACATGTAGATCCACACTAATGCTGTTTAAAAGCGTTACAGTAGTATCATATAAGAATAAATGTATTCGGATCTGAAGTCTACTTTCCATACTGATTTAAGAGGATCTCTTGGCCTATGTGCTTTCAAAGAAAAAAAGAAAATTCTTTGTTTAACTTTCTCAATGGGTGCCTTGCTTCACTCAGATGGAAATTTGAACAAACATTATAACCTAGCAATTCTCAGACTTTAAGCCCACTCTATCCATGGGGTTATGCGTTGGAAACTATTATTATGCCCGCCTTCAAAAGAACAACTTTCATCATCTCTGCATACACCTGACTAAAATGCAAAATTCAGGCCCACACTCGTAACCTCACAAAGCCCCTCATGCCTGCCTGCTATCTTCCAGTGAGGCCCCTGCAGTGAAGAAGGTACGCACTCTTACCTAGCCATGGGTTTCCTTAAGTGGACTCAACGTTTGTCACCTCCTTTTCTTTTTGCCCTGAGCAGCTGGCCTTCTTGTCCCAGGCATCTCCTAAATGTGCCACCTGGAAAGAGTTGGCTGTGTTTCAGAATTCCAACACCAATCACAAGACAGATTTACTACAGTCTGCCATATCTCTCACTGACGCTACGGCCTCCTCTGAGTCCATCCGCTCTGGTCTTCAGGCCCAGCGGACCTACCTAGCATCTTGAGAGCGGCACTTTCCTGAATACCAGCGGCGTCCTCGGGAGAACCCGCTGTCCCCAGGTGGTGCGGTCCCCACTTCCGCTCCCAGTCACTCCTGGCCCCGGGCTCTCGTGCGCGCCCACTCACGGGACTGAACAGCTGAGGGTCCCTCAGTCCCGCTTGCCTGAATCCAGAGCTGCCCGCGAGGCCTCCACCGCAGGCGGAAGAAGAGCCTGGCCAGCAGCGGCGCCACGTCCCCAAGGAAACGGCAGGGAGCCAATGACTGACGGGGACCTGGGAGGGGGCCCGCCCCCTCACGACGCGGCGGCTTCAGTGTGGCCAATCCCCGAGAGTGTTGACCTCTAATGCCCAGCCTAGCGCTTCCAATCGCGTCCAATCGGAAGGGCGTATGCCGAGACTACGCCTGGAGGGGTGGGAGACTGGGCACTTGGGTTTGGGTCTGGAGCTGTCTTGGTGATGCGAATTCTCTGCGGGCAGTTTTTCCCACGTGCACTCCCAGAATAGGGAGACTCCAGTCCCTCTGGTGGGTCTCGAAGCGTTCGCGATAAGAAATGTAAAAATTATCCACAACTTTGTGCAGATTCTATGCCCACTTGCTTTTCCCTCCGGAATGGCAGTGATTCGCCTTTAAACCTTCCTATCGCCTCCCAAACTGATGTACCATTTCTATTGCTTTATCCTGTTTGAAAAAATAAATTAGAAACAGTGATATTTACACCCAAGTGCCTAACTCCGTTCGTTCAGCGTTTATTGTCACAGTGTGTCACACATTGTGAGATTTTGTATCAGTACCCTATTGGATCTTGCAGTGAAGCCATACAAAGGCAGCTGCTTTATGTTTAAACCAGCCTTGGATCTTAACTCCGAGAAGGAGTCCTTGAACATCAGAAAACCTAACTTTTTCCGAACTGTTCACATTCATGACCTGCTTGTCCATGACCTGCCACTACTGTAACTTCTGCGGCACCTCTCCTCCCAGCACGGCAGCCTCGATATTTCTGGCCTCTTAGGTTTTGTTTATTGTCTCTATCCCCCTTCCCCTACCTGCCTTGAATAACCTCCCTTGCCTGTTAGCCAACTCTTGCGCATTCCTTACAATTTGGCCTAAGGATCATCCTCTGAAAGCCTTACTGGACCTGTGAACCTACTCCTCCTTTATAAAACGCCTTCTGTTTTCACTTACACTCTGAATATGCTTGAGGGCTTCCACCTATTCCCGAACTGGCCACTGTCTGGCACATACAACTTGACTACTGTATGATTAATAAATGAATGTGGGGAACAGCAAAGACCACACATATAAGAACAGAAAGGCTACTTTATTGAAAACAGGCTATAACCGGAAACAGTCAATATTATTTGCATTTAGCAGAGTTAAAGGCTGTCGGAAGAGTGCGAAAGCTCCGTGTGTAAGGAAAAAGAGAAGAGGGCTTGCTTATACCCAGACTTAGGCATTAACTTGGGAAAGCTAGGGGCCAGCTAAATAGAAGAAGGGCATTTTATGTGGTTGGTTTGGGAGAGCATATGCTATGATCTCTCGTTGGTTCTGACGTTAAGGGTGGATAGGCAAACATGGGGCTGCCGTCGTTGGTAAGTGCTGACCATTCTGGGAGTGATTGCTGCAGAGGTTGTAAGAGGTTCTAATTGTTTGGCATTGTCCAATTGATATAATCAGTCTCTTATGACTAGTTTTCCCTTCAGGCATTCTCAGTCTAGTTAGTTTTCTAACATATTCTTTCTCGTTCAATTCTCATTTCTCAGATTTCTTTCTGTCCCTCAATTGCCGGGTTGCTTCAAATATTAAATTTTATCTAGGTCTCAGAAAGTACAAGTAAAATAGTTATGCAAAGTTGGGATTAATCACAAAATTGTACAAGTAGGTACCAGGCATTTTTATTCATTCTAAAGCATTTTTATTCTAAAGCATTCTAAGGCATTTTTATTCATTCATTCTAATTCAGTTCCTAAAATAAGGCAGGCATAGAAAGAACTCAATAAATTTTATGAAATAATTTTTAAAACTGTATTGAAGTTGTCTTCTTGAGTTTTAAGATTAATCTATGTAGATATTCAAAAGTACAATGAAACATTCTCTAAAAGTAGAAGATAAAAATAATTACTGTTATAAAGCAGGAAAAAAACTTCTACATTTAGTCCTAAGACTCACATTACACTTTTTGCAAAACTTACTTTGACTGTTTAATTTGGACCATACATACTTCCTTTAATAATTGCACATGCCATCGGCATTTGTTAAGCACAATTTTTTACAAAAACCTGCAATGTTTATCTGGTTACTAGTTCACAAGGCTGAGTTCTGAGGTTTCCATTTAGCAGGCCAAATTTAAAAAGGGTTGATACCATCTCTATTCATTTGCTGTAACTCAACATGTTGAAACAAATTATAGAAACCCATATTTCAAAACAGGTTTTTAATTTCTGTTTAAAAGCTTGTCTACAATTACATTTAAAATTTTCTCAAGAACCCCTTGATGCTCAACCCTGCGCTAACTCAGCCAAACCCATGTCATACTGCATGTCAATAGCTTACCCTTGGTTTCTGTTGTTCCCTTTCCCATTACCAATTCTCTTTCCTCCCACACTCCACCCAGCTCTAACCTCTGAGGGAGTTTACACTCCATTGTTACTCTTATGTTTTCATGTGTCTTTAAGGCAGGACATTATTCAAAACCAAACTTACTAGCTTTTCACTCTTATTGTGCTCTCAGACGCCTTCATCTATGTTGCCATCTTTAACAAAATACCCTGTGATTCACTCAACCAGGAGCCTGTGTGACAGTCATTCTAGAATCTCTTCCCTGTTTTCTTTTCCCACTTCCGTTCAATTGGATATTAGATATTCTTGGTTTAAGTGTCTAAAATCTTTTTTTTTCTGCTTTTGGAGACAGGGTTTCACTATGCAGTTCAGGCTGGACTTCAACTCACTTTGTAGCCCAGGCTTTCCTCAGACTTGCAGTGATCCTCCTTCCTCAGCCTCCCAATGCTGGGGATACAGGTGTGCACCACCACACTTGGCTCTAAAATCTTTTTTTTAATCTTATTTAAAAGGAAAAAGAGAAAAACACAAAACAAAACAAAGCGGTGTAAGGGTACAAGTAATACAGAACTACAAAAAAAAAAAACAGTAAGAAATCACCAGTTAATAGATTACATATTATCGTCTTAGAGATAGTTGCTCATCACAGTATCAAAGCATACAAAGTGAACATTCAAACAGAGAGACTGCAAACAGTTGTGTTCAGTGATCCAACCAAAAACATTAATATGGTTAGCTATTTAACACCCCTAAACACACTTGCAGTGGTATCCTTTAGAGCACTTTTTTCCCCTCTCTTTTTTACAACAAATTTTACACATTTTGGGTTTTATTACTCCTTAGTTCTTATTACTTTTTTTTTGGAAGAGAATAAAGTCAAATATGGCAAAACAAAGCTGTCAGTCAAAATCAAGGATAGACATAGTACATGATGTAAGAACAGAGTACAAGGTTATCAACAATGGTTACCATAATGTCTCTTGTTTCCTTAAAAAGAATTGTCTATCTCATTAGGTATTATAAAGTTGAACAAAACAGTAGAGAACAAGACCAATAAAACTTAAGCATTGTAAACATTACAGGACTTCCAAAGGAGACAATAGTCAAACCAGAATGGGCATCTTAGTGAATCTTATTGCCTTCAAAGTAGTTTTGGCTCTAATATCTTTGAATAAAGCCTTTCATCTGATAGCCATATTTCCAGACTGGTGTCCCTCCTGAGGGCCCCTCCATTCTAACATTACTGTGAAGTCTAATCTCGCTACTTATTGACTGAAAATCCTTTAGTGGTTCCTTATCCCAACAGGGTGTAGTCCAAATCTATTAGCCTGGTGTGGTACACTTTGCTGCCTACGTGTCCCAAAGGCCAGTACTCGCTCTTCTACCTTGGTAACTTGCAGAATAACCACATTCCTATGTTTGGCTGTGTGTTTCAAGAACGCTGGGCTCCAATTCTAGCTCTATGGAATAAACTGTAGTTGGTTTAGAATGGTTCCCTCACCAACTATTAGTTTAAACATGTGCATTTGGTAGAATTTTTTGTTGTTGGAGATTTTTGTTTGTTTGTTTTGTTTTTTGTACCAGGGATCAAACGCATGACCTCACACTTACTAGGCAAGTGCTTGAGCTGCTGAGCTAAATCCCTGGCCCTGTGGTAGAATTTTAGCTAATAACATCGAAGCTGTGGGGGAAATGGTGGTGAGAAAGCTCTTTATGGGAAAATCCTGAGTTTGAGCCTCGTCGGGGAAATTTAGTGGAACACTGTCTAAATTTTTTTTTAAAAAATAAAATACTAGCTGGGCATGATGGCTCATGCCTGTATTCCCAGCACTTGGGAGACTGAGGCAGGAGGATGGTTTTGAGTTTGAGACCAGCCTGGGCTACAAAGTGAAGTCAAGGCCAGCCTGAACTACATAGAGAGAACCTGTCTCAAAAAAGACAAAAAAAATAAAAATAAAAGTACTGCTGGTAAGCACGAGGTTGTGAGTTCAATCTCTGGTACCAGAAAAGAAAGAAAAAGACAATAACTAGAGCTCAGTTCCAAGCCCCTGACTTCAATCCCTAGGCCTGGAAAAAAGTAGTTTTTCAGAAGGTAAGATAAATAAGACTTCTTTTCTTCCTTTTGGATGTAATTTTATTTTATTTATTTATTTATAAAACTCACGACCTTGTACTTGCCAGGCAGGCTCCATGCTGCTGAGCTATGTCTCTGGCCCTTGAAATAATCTTAGGGATATGATGCCTGGAGTTGCTATAGCTACCTTACAATCTTAGAGAGACAAATCTAGGAATAATAAAATAGAGATACTTGCAGAAAAATAAAACTAGGTCCTTGATAAAACTAGCAAAAACTAATATTTGATAATATACTATGTTGGTGAAGAAGGAGTAAAAGGACTTCATTCTTCCATATGCTGAGACTTAGAACTCTGGGGTCATCCTTAATACCTCTCTTCCCTTTACATCTCACATCCAGTCCATCAGAAAGCCTGTAACATGTATGGAGTAATCCCAGCCCTCGGTAAGCTGAGGCAGGAGAAACACCAAGAGTTTGAGCCCAACTGGGCTACATATCAAGTTAAATACCAACCTGAACAACATAGCAAAATCCTGCCTAAAAAAA